AAAAAATCAGAGCAGTCTCAAATAAACAACCTAATGATGCACCATGGGGGCAGGAGGCATGGTTCAAGTGATAGAGTGCTTGCCTAGTATGCACAAGGTCCTGGGTTTATTCCCCAGTACCACACACAATTATAATAATAATAATGAGGCACCTCAAAGTCTTAGAAAAGCAAGAATAACCCAAATTAGTAGATGGAAAGAAATAATAATCAGGACATGAATGATTGAAATGGAGTCAAAAAAACCAATATGAAGAATAAATAAAACAAAGAGTTGGTTCTTTGAAGGCATAAACAGGATAAATAAAACCTTAGCCAAACTAACCAAAAGAAAGAAAGGAAAGACCCAAATTAATAAAATTAAATGAAAAAGAGGATATTATAAAACACATATCACTGAAATCCAGAGGATCATCAGTGAATATTTTGAGAACTCATGTTCCAATAAATTGGAAAAATGGGCAAATTCCTAGAAACATATGTCTTACCAAGATTGAACCAAGAAGATACAAATAACTGAAACAGGTCAATAAATAGCAATATCATTGAAATAGTTAAACAAAAAAACCAGGAGGATTCAATTCTGAATTCTTCCAGACCTTTAAAGAAGAACTAATATTAATCCTTTCAAACTATTCTGTAATAAAAAAAAGGAAGGTATTCTTCCATACTCATCCTATGAACTCAGTATTATCCTGATACCAAAACTAGATAAAGACACAACAAAAAAGGAAAACTACAGGCCAATTTCCTTAATGAATGTAGATGCAGAAATCCTTAATAAAATACTTGCAATCTGAATTAAATGATGCATTAAAAGGTTAAATATAATGATCAAGTTGGTTTCATTCTAGGAATGCAAAGATTGTTCAACATACACAAACTGATAAATCTAATACAGCATATAAACAAAAACAAGGGTAAGAATCACATGATCATCTCAATAGATGCAGGAAAAGCCTTTGACAAAAATCCAACTTCCATTCATGATAAAATCCCTGAAGAAACTAGAAATATAAGATTTGTATCTTTTTTTTTTTAATGTTACTGGGGTTTTAACTCAGGGCCTTCACCGTGAGCCACTCCACCAGCTCTATTTTTGTGATGGGTGTTTTCAAGATAGGGTCTCGCGAACTATTTGCAGAATAAATATTGTGAAAATGGCCATACTACCAAAAGCAATATATAAATTCACAGTCACCCTCAAAATTCCAATTACATTCTTCACAGAAATACAAAAAACAATCCTAAAATTTATGTAGAAAAACAAAAGACCTCAAATAACCAAAGCAATACTGAGAAAAAAAAGAGCGATGCTAGAAGAATCACAATATCTGACTTTAAACTCTATTATAGAGCCATAGGAACAAGAACAACATAGCAGTGGCACAAAAACAGATGCATAGACCAGTGGAATGGGTAGAATATTCAGAAATAAGGCTACGTAGGTACTGTCATCTGATTCTTGATAAACGCATCAAAAACATAGTCTGGAGAAGTACAGATTCTTTAACAAGTGTTGCTGGGAAAGTTGGGTATTTACATGTAGAAGACTGAAATTAGATCCTTACCTCTCATCTTGTACAAAAATCAACTCAAAATAGATCAAAGACTTTAATATAATACCGGAAACTTTGAACCTACTAGAGTAAAACAGGAGAAACATTTCAAGATACAGCCATAGGGAAGGACTTCTGAATAGGACTCCAGTAGCTCAGGGAATAGGACCAAGAATTAACAAATGGCATTGTATCAAACTGGGGCTGGGCACCAGTGACTCACACTTGTAATCCCAGCAATTTGAGAGGCTGAGACCAGGAGGATTTTGGCTAGAGGCCAGTTTAAGCAAATATTTCATAAGATCCCAGCTCAAAAATAACCAGAGCAAAGTGGACTGGAGGTGTGGCTGAAGTGGCAGTGTGCCTGCTTCATAAGCATGAACCTCTGAGTTCAAACCTCAGTCCCACAAAAAAACAAAACAAAATTCTGAAAAGCTTCCACACAGCAGAAGAGTAAAGAGATATCCTATAGAATGGAAGAAAATTTTTGCCAGATATTCCTCTGATAAGGGATTAATATCCCTAATATATAAAGAACTCAAAAAAATTAAACATCAAAAGAACAAATAATCCAATCAATAAATGGACAAATGAGTAACTTTTCAAACTTATCCTTAGCCTTCAAAAAAACAAAAATCAAAACTACATTGACATTCCATCATACCGGATTTATTATGGCTATCATCAAGAAAACAAATACCAGCTGGGTGCCAGTGGCTTTTGTCTGTAATCCTGCCTACTTAGGAGGCTGAAATTGGGAAGATCAAAGTTTGAGGCCAACCTGGACAAATAATTACAACAAGCATTATATTGTCTAGTGTGCAAGTCCCTCCCCCAATTCCTCAATGCCTGAGTACTATGGGATGTGCATTTTTCTCCCACGCATTGCCTAGATTTCCTACTGGGTTATTTAAAATATGCCTCTCTTGGGACTGATCAAATTTTAGAAGCAGGAAGTTCTCCCTGTGATATGTGCTTTCTAACACATACAGCTTTTAACCCACTTCCTCATTATATGGTGATTTACCCCTCTCAGTTTAAGTTTCCTTATCAGCTGGAAATGGGTTCCTACCTGAGTGGTAGGACTTCAGGTGTGTGCCACCACATCTGGCCAGATTTCCGCACTCTTGAACCTAACCTATGAACTTCATTTCCTCTTGGGTTTCTAGTGCCTGCAGGCTCCTTAACAAAAGTTGCAACTCATTTCATGCTACACATTCCCAAACACATATTCCCAAGGTTGGGTAATGCCTCCAGACTCCAACTTCTTATTAGCTTCTTAAATTCCTTCCCTCTATCATTAGACCGTCAGTTTTTTTTCTCTAGCTGACATATGGAAAATAGGATTGAAAAGAAGTGAACTGAGCCCCCTATCTTCCAGAACTCTTCTCCAGTCCTTTAATTTAGGACTTAATCTCTCAGTTACTATAAAATGTTGAGGCTTCTGCCATTGGCAACTTGTGTAGTATATCTACTGCCTGAAATTTTAGACCAAATTTTCAGGTTTCAGTATAGTTGAAATATCACACATCTCAAAATTATTACACATTTACAGTTCTTATGAGATCATGAATCCTCCCATTTTTCACCTTTCTAGGATGTCAGCAATAATGACATCACTTGCCCTTGGAAGTCTACTGTGCCAGGACTCATTTCTGGGTTCTAGTCTAATCCCAGCCATTGAGTCACTTTGTGGCTTGGAGCAAATTTCCTATTTTCCTTCAGTTCTTAACTTTCCTTTTGGTAAAATAGCTACATTAGAGATCATTTTAGTGAGATCACTTTTAATTCAAACAGTCTAAATAGATTATTATGAATATTAGAAAGGCTTCAAACAAGATTAAAGTCATGCTACTTGAGAAGAAAGAAAATTACATTAATTTGGGGCTGATTAGGATTGCAATCCAGAAGAACACAGAAAATCTTGAAAATGTGCTCCTAAAACTGGAGTTTGGGACCCAAAGCCCAAACTCCTGGGATTCCACATGCCAGGTCCCGCCACCCACCCCTAAATGCTAAATAAAGATCAGGCTGCTGGAGTGGCTCAAGTGGTAGAGCACCTGCCTACCAACTGTGAAGCCCTGAGTTCAAGCCCCAGTACTACCAAAACAAACCAACCAAAAACATGGAAGAGCAGGCACCCATAGTGACTCATGCCAGTAATCCTAGCTACTCAGGAGGCAGAGATCAAGAGGATTGTGGTTTGAAGCCAGTCTATAAGTCCGCAAGATTCTATCTCAACCTATCAGAAAAAAAAAAGGACTGCTGGAGTGGCTCAAGGTGTAGGCCCTGAGTTCAAGCCCCAGAACCGCCAAAAAAAAAAAAACATGGAAGAGGCACGGTGAAGACAGAGAAAGATTTATTACATGGTTAGGGACGTGCCTTGGGAAGAGGCAGAATAAGCACTCAGCCAATCTTCAGCCATCCTTAGGGTACAGACATGAGTTATAGGTTTAAAATAGACAAAAGAGCTAGGGGCAGAGGACAAATGGTATGAATAGTTAAAATAGTTTAGTCACAAGTGTGGTCTGGTTGGTCATTATATCAGCCCTTGTTCTGGAAGAGGTTCCCCAATTGTTATCTGGATTCATTGTCAACTGGCAGATGGTTCATCTGAGGTAGGTCTACTGTTGGGGGTAGTTTCTGCCCCTTGTTAAGAAGATATTAGTGTGTCTTTCCTGGAATCCAAAGTGCTTGCAAAATGACTGCAAAGAGAATGACTTAGAGCAAAGACAGATACAAAAAATGGAGGAGAGAGTCTGAATTGAGTTTAACTACACAAAGAATATTTTGATACCATAGCAGCAGATTTCAGAAGCCCTTTTGGCCTGGACCTCACCTTCACAAAGGGCCTCAAATTTACACTTTTTCATTTCTGCACTGCAGAGGAGAGGGGGTGATGGGACCCCATGGCATTGTACAGTCCTCAATATTACACTTTTCATAACATATCCTTAAGAAGTAAGTCTTTCAATCCCCCACACATTAAGGAAAAAAAATTATGGTCAAAAAGACTGGACTGCAGCTAGAGCATGGTTCAAGGCCCTGTTCAAACTCCAGTATCAACACACACACACACACACACACACACACACAAAGTGGCAGAAAAACGAGACTGCAATGTTATTTAACCCTATCTATATTTTTCTAATCCTATTGTGACATTAAAACTATCACAATTCTTTGATTCTATAATTTTCTAGATACTGAAATGATCAATTTATTAAATATAAACATTTTGGGGGGCTTTTCATTTTAATATACTCAAAGCTCCCCAAAAAGGCAGAAGTCTCTATTTCTGCGGATATTTATTGGGAATTTACATTCCACCTGACACCTTGCTAACACTGCCTAACAGTCACAAGTCTATATGGTGGTCACTATAACTATCACCATTTCGAGGAGGAAGAATCGGATTTACAGAAGTTGTCAAATCACTTACAACTAGTAATTGGTAGAGCAATGTCAAATCCGGGAAGGTAACCGCCCTGCATGACCTCTGAGTCACTCCGAGGCTGCACTATCCTTTAGGGACCTCAACTTGGCTGGCTGCTCGAGATGACTTCAACAACCGGAACCTTAAAGGCATAAAACCTCTCCCCCTCCCTTCTTGCGCTTCCCTTCCTATCCAGGGTCATGGTTCTTAACCCGCTGACGGTAGGTACGAGCCAGGCGGGCCGCGCTGCGCATGCTCAGCTGCAAAGGACGACGGGAAGGGGGCGGGGCCTTCGGGGCCGTTTGTGGTCGAGAGCTGTGAGGAGGGCAGCGTGGCGAGCGTCCCTGGGAAAAGTTAGTAAGCCTCCTCGCAGGGCTCGGGTTTCGGTCTTCTCTGCTCGCGTTCTGGCAAGGGGCAGGGTTTCTTTCTCCAGTTGGAGCGAGGGTGACGCGCGGGGGGGGCGGGGTTTCCGGAGACCCGGCGCGGAACGCCGATTCCCGCCAGTGGGGTCTGGGACCCAGGGCCTGGCTCTGGCTTGGGTTGTCTGTTTGCGCCTCTTCTAACCTCGTCCGCTGGGAGTCGGGCGTCATGGTCCCCCAACACACACTTCCAGCGATTGCCGCCGCCTGCAACTCCTGCGCAGTAACTGGGCTTTCTGTTTATAAAACGTCCGTCCCGTGACACCTGTGGCTCTGCGTTCGTTAAGCAGTTTCAGAGGTGAAAAATGCAGCTGTGCGCGGCGGCCGGCTCCTGCCATCCAGGCATGCGAGCGTGGCAGGAGGAGCGCGAGCTCAGCTACCTAGCAGACCCTGTCCCAAGAAAACGAAGTTAAAAAATCGTGGATAAAGGGCTGGGGCGGTTTAAAAAAGTACTTCTGGGATTTTCGGTTGAATAGTATTTTCAGGCTAGGGTTGACTGCAGGTAACCGAAACCGAGGAAAGCAAAACTAGTAGAAAGGGAAGACTAGTGTTTTGGTTTGGTTTTGCTTGAGATAAGGAGGATCTGAGGATCCAGGCCAGCCTGAATTACATAGAACCTATCTCAAAAAATAAAAAGAGAGAGAGACTGAGAAAGAGGCCTTGAGACTGAGCCTCTGGTAGTGCCTCAAAAAATCACAAAATGGGATTATTTGTTAGTATGTGTGGCGCCAGGTGTCAAACCCAAGGCCCTGAGCTTGCTACGCAACACACCACCACCCAGCTACCTCCGGCTTCGCGTTCCCCTCCTCCCCACCCCCAGGCACTGGATTTTTTTTGGTTTTTTTTTTTTTTTTTTTTTTTTTTTTTGACACAGGGTCTGGTTCTGTAGCCTAGGCTGCCCTCGGGCCTGTGATCCTCTGGTGTCAGCCTTCCCATTGCTGGAATCCTTAGCACTCCTGACATTGAATGTATTTAAATGCTGTGACCTGAGAAACAAGCCGGGAAAGAGGCAGAGGATAACTGGAACGCTGGGGTAAAGTGAGTACAAGTGATTGGAATAATCTCAGAATCCTTTCTTTTGTTTTCTAAGACTACTGGTAAATTAAACACCAATTTATAAGAGGCTGGAAATGCAGCCCAATACTGCAAAAATAAAATGAACTTTTAAGGTTGGTGGCTTTAGTCCAGGTCTGGGAGCACAGAAATGGAATTAATTCTAGAAGAAAACACAAAGGTGATAGCTACTATGATATCAAGCAAAACTATGTTGAGAGCCAGGTGCAGTGGTGGGTCCTGTAGTCCCATTATTCCCATCTACTCCAGAGGCTGAGGCAGGAGGATCCTCCAGTCCCAGAACCTGGACTACTTTTTTTTGTTTCAAAAGGAAAAAAGAAAAGAAAAAGTATATTGAGATATGGTGGATGAAAAGAAGGAAGCCAGTGTTGGTGGTGTGAAGGAACCTTCATGTCAAGTTGTCTGAAGACCTTTTTTGTGGTTCTGTAAAATTACTTTTTAAAAGCACCCATTTTAAAATTAGATTGTTCCTCAGGATTTTAGGAACCTGGATAGTTCTGCAGGAAGAAAATAATTAGGTTGCAAGTGAAGGATTTCACTGCATCAGATACTAAAATGAGAGAGTCACCATTAGAAGATGAATGTGGCAAAGCAGTGACACTGCAGCTGGGGCAACTAGACAAAATTAAGACAGAACCCGAAAATGCTCAGGTAAATATTTTACATTATTTTCTTTTTTCTATAGCACTTTTTTATTATGAATTTAGTTATAAAGGTGCTAATTTATTGGTTGAAAATTTAAATCCTATCTTCCACCAAATCAAATAACAATACAATATTAATGTTTGGGGGAGTTGTTTTTTGGTGGTATTAGGGTTTGAACTCCACTTGAGCCACTCCCTTGGCCCTCAAAATAAGGAACACTTCATGAATTTGCATATCTTCCTTACACAGGAGTTATACTAATCTTCTCTGTGTCCTTCCAATTTTAGTATATCTGTTGCCAAAGTGAGCACTGGATTTTGAGACAGGGTCTTATTATATAGCCCAAGCTGACCTCAGACTCAGTCCTCCTGCCTCAGCCTCCCCAGGTACTAGAATTATAAGTTGCCCCACCAAGCCTGTTGGTTATATGATTTTGAGTGCCAAGAATATGCAAAAAGGTGATTTGAGAGAATAGACTGTTCAGATAGGTGAAAGGATTGCTTAGAGTGTTATGGGCCTATCTAAGGTTTCTCTTAACTTGAAACAATACAAATAATTTCAGTAAGCCCGCCTTATTTTCAGACTTATTGCATGCAGTTTTGACCAAGCATGGTCAAAAATAATAATAATAAAATCGAAAGAAACTTCAAAACCAAAACTTTTAAATGCTCTCATGTGCGTTGTCCAGGTCAGTTGATTCAGAAAAGTTCTCAGTCCTGTGTTACCAGTTTTTAAATCATTGTGTGATCTGCTGAATGTTTCCCTTCATTTTGTGAAAATTGCCTCTCAAAAAGCAAAAGTTATAATAATTGTCCCAAGCCAAAAAGGGCATAATGTACTTAATTTTAGATTTGTTGAAATGTGGCATGTCTATACCAAAAATTAGGCAGAGTTATGGGGAAAAATGAATCAAGCATCTGTAGTACAGTTCTGAACTCTTCATCCTGAGTGTGTGGTTTTTCCTCAACAGCTGAATTCCAAGGGTCTGCTGTAATTGTGTATTTTTATGCTACTACCTTAAGTAGTAGAATTAAATACTTTCTCTCTCTCTCTCTCTCTCTCTCTCTCTCTCTCTCTCTCTCTCTCTCTGGCTGTACTGAGATTTGAACTCAGGGTTCTTTGCTTGCTTTGCAGGCATGTACCAGTCGAGACATCATCAGCCTACAATTCAAAATTTTTTCTTTATGTGTTTTTTTTTATCCAAATTAGTTTTATGGTTTTTTTTTTTTTTCCTGTTCTTGGGTATTATGGTCTACTACTGAGCTACAACCCCATCATTTATTTATTTAGGTTTTTTGTTTAGTTTTTTTTGAGGCCAGGTCTTGCTGTATAGCCAAGCCTGGCCTTGAACTCATGATCCTCCTACCTTAGTGTCCCAAGTACTAGGATTACAAGTGCTTGGTACTCTGCCTAGTTCCCCTGTTTTAAGTTTTTAAAGATTGTTTTTTAGATATATCACATACTAAATAACCTATAAAGAGTAAATTGACTTAATCTGTGAGTATAATCTGTAAGTAGGGTCAAATTTCCTTAGAACACATTTATATGAAACTGCTGAAATTTTAATGAAAGGAAAGTAAATCAGAGAATTCAGTTTTAATTTATGTATAGTATTCTACTGAGAAGTAGAATAAGCCAGGCACAGTACCATGTGCCTATAGTCCAGCTGTTTGAGTGGTAAGGCAGGAATTCAGTCCCTTGACAGTACTAAAGAACTGTGTTCTTGAGTATCATAGAAAGTTGGTGTTATCAGAAAAAGGACATCAAAAGGACAGTGCTAATCTTTATATACCTTGGTTCATTTCAGCTATACAGTTCATTGAACTGAAAGTGATCACTTTCTATTGATTCATTATTTTTAATTCTCTCTTAGGAGTATTGTCAAGCTCAACAACCCAAAACTCAGGAGAATGAACTGAAAATAAACACTTCATTTTCAGACACTGGTAATAAAATTAAGTCAATTATGTTCTGACCAACATGATAGCCAATTTATTCTACATTTTAAAAATGCCTTATTGGGGGCTGATGAAGTGACTCAAGTGGTAGAGCACCTGCTTGGCAAGTGTGAGACCCTGAGTTCAAACTCTAGGATTAGAGATATGGCTTAAGTGGTAGAGTGCCTCCTTTTCAAGGGCAAAGCCTTGGCTTCAAACCCAGTCCCACCAAAAAAAAAAAAAAAAAAAAAACCTTGAGGTTGAGTTTCATGTCCAGGAGAAATAACCTCTAAAAGAAAATGAAAGAATGCATACTTAATTTGAAAATACTAATTATGTGCTTCCTGTTTTATTTTTATAGCTTCACAGTTGACTACAGGCCTTCAACTTTCCCTGGCATCATCTGGCATGAATAAAATGCTTCCTTCTGTTTCAACCACAGCTGTTCAGGTTTCCTGTTCTGGCTGTAAAAAAATCCTCCAAAAGGGGCAAACTGCTTATCAGAGGAAAGGGTCTACTCAGCTTTTCTGTTCCACACCATGCATCACTGAATACATTTCATCTGCCAATTTACCAGCTCCTACCAAGAGAACTTGCTCATACTGCTCAAAGTATGTAATTCTAAATATGCCTTTTTTTTTTTTTTCTACATAGATCTTGACCACTGTCTTGGTTGTAATTTTTTTTTTTTTTTTTTTGGTACTGGAGTTTGAACTCAGGGCCTTATGCTTTTTGTAGGCAGGTACGGTAACACTTGAGCCACTCCATTGCCTTTGTTTGTGCTGGGTGTTTTTGAGACACATTCTCACTTTTGTTGCCCAGGTTGGCCTTGAACCTCGACCCTCCTGATCTCTGCCTTCCAAGTAAGTAAGATTACAGGCATGAGCTACCATTACCCAACTCTGTTTTCATTTTTTTAAGAAGATGTGTCACCTTGCCAGTCAATGGTGGCTCAGGCCTCTAATCCTAGCTACTTGGGAGGCAGAGAACAGGAGGATTGTGGTTCGAAGCCAGCCCAGTTAAATAGTTAACAAGACCCTATCTCAAAAAATACTATCGCAAGAAGGGCTGGTGGAATGATTCAAGTGTTAGAGCACCTGCTTAGCAAGTGTGAGGCCCTGAGTTCAAACCTCAGTCCCACCGAAATAAATAAATAAATAAAGCTGTTTAAAAAAAGATGTGTCACCTTGGTTTAGTAAAAAGCTGCTTCTGCTCATTCTGAAGTCTTTGTTAATTGAGAGGTTTGCAGAAATTCAAATGGAGAGAATTTCCATTTCTATTTTAAATGTGATTTTCATATCTTTCTTACTCTTTTCATTTGAAATTCTCTGTAAGTGAGATTATTGGTAGGGCTTTCAGTTCTATTACATTTTTCTTATAATAGTAAAATAAAGTTATTTAATTTTTTTGAAAAGTTGAATAGCGATAGATGTACATGTACACATGCAAACGCAAAGATTTGTATGAGGATGTTGTATTGGACTTTGAGAGTCCTATGGTAGGATCATTCTTGTTAGCTCTCATTAAATGTTAATGCAAAATTTGAAATGTTCTTATTTCAGATCAGGAAAAGTCATAGACCATCAGATTTGCTCCTAAATGTAATAAATTCCTTTCAGATAATATCTTGGAATCAGATTTCCATTGGAGTTTTGCCTCCTCCATTCACAGTTACATTTTGCTACTCCAGTTGTTGTCCCTGAGCATCTCTCACCAGCATCACCTGAGAGCTTATTAGAAATGCAGGTTCTCCAGACTGAGCCAGATCTAGAAATCAGAACTGCATTTATCCCCATGGGATTCATAGGCATGCTAAAGTTTGAGAAGCATTGAGAACTTTTTCGTTTCTTAATATTCCATCTGTTTATGTAAATGTGCTTGAGAATTATGAACATTAAATATGTGAGAACCTAACAACAGGGCATGTAATAAGAACTGTTGCTGTTATTATACATCACAACTTTCACCATTATTCTCTTAACTCACAAATCCTTTTTATGGGTTTCTTTCAGCTATTTGGTGGCTGCTTCAGTTGTGACCTGTTGCTTCAAGTCTTATTCCCTAGAACTCTACTTACCTTTATTTCTTTTTTTTCTTTTTAACCCTTCAGTACTACACTATGTCTTTTGTCTGTTTTCTTTTTTGCTATGGGCTATATGGTGCTCTCTTCAGCCTGCTTTCTTTCTCTGCAGAATCATAAACCTGGAAGGGACCTTAGAGATCATCCAATGTAAGCCTTTTCTTTTGGTTTTGAGGAAACTGGGGGCCTGAGAAGTTAAGGTATTATGTTGTTATGTTTGGAATATACTCACTACATTTCTTCAACAACTTTACTACATATCACAGATTGAAAAAGGCTAAAGCAGGAAATGAGTAAATGTGGGGCTTTGGGTTTTTGGTGGTACTGGGGATTTAATTCAGGGCCCTCTACTTGAGCTCCACCCAAGTCCTTTTGCTTTTAGGTATTTTGTGTGTGTGTGTGTGTGTTTTGAACTCAGGGCCTCATGCTTGCTAGGCAGGCACTCTTACTGCTTGAGCCACCCCACCATTTCTTTAGTTTGTTTTTGAGACATGGTCTCACTAACTTTAGCCTCATCCTCGTACTGCAATTCCCCTGTCTCTGCCTTCACTCCCAAGTGGCTAAGACCACAGGCATATGCCACTTCATCCAGTTAGTTGCTCTTTTAAGGCATAGAATTCCAGTATGAGCAGAAATATGAGACAAATTATACTTCCTCTGGAATAAAATTTTTTATATTAAAACTATATGTTGGTGGAAAGATGGTAATAATACTTAAGGCCCAGAGAGGCCATCAGTGTTCATAGTAGCCTTGTTTTTATCAAAACTTTTTTAAAATTCCACATTCATTAGCCTCGTGCCAGTGGCTCACACCTGTAATCCTAGTTATTCAGTAGGATCACAGTTCAAAGCCAGCCCAGGCAAATAGTTCCATGAGATCCTGTCTCAAAAAAAGCCTTCCTCAAAAAAGGGCTAGTGGAGTGGCTCAAGGTGTAGGCCTTGAGTTCAAACCCAAGTACTGAAAAAAAAAATAATAATAATCTCAAATTTTTAGGTAATTTTTAGTCACATTTAAGTTTTTTATAGTAGTAATTTAACATTTCAAGCTAGTGCAGTTTTTTGTTCAACTTCATGAATCATTTGAAGTATAGCTTAGAAAATTATATTTAAAATCTTACTGAAAAGATGTGACTTGTTTTTGAGAACTACTTACTCAAGAAGTGTCATTTCTAGGCCTGGAGCTGTGGCGCAAGTGGAAAGCCCTGAGTTCAAATCTCAGTACTGCCAAAAAGAAAAGTCATTTCTGCATTTTAGTATTGGATCCAACTAGAAATCCTGAAAGCAATCAGTAGGGTCCAAAATAGGCCTAGCACTAATGCTTGATTTATTTATAGGAAAGTTGCTCCCAGCTGTGTTCAGAATTTAAGTGTGCATTGTTTGTTTGTTCTTTTTTTGGGTTTTTTTGGGAATTGAATCCAGGGCCTTATGCATGCTAGGCAAGTACTCTACTACTGATCCATGGTCCCAGCCCTCTTGTTTGTTTGTTTGTTTGTTTTAACTTTTTTGGGGGAGGGGGTGGTATTGGAGCTTAAACTCGGGGCCTTCACCTTGAGCCACTCCGTCAGCCCAATTTTTTGTGATAGGGTTTTTTGAGATAAGATCTCGAAAACTATTTGCCCAGGCTGACTTGGAACCACAGTCCTCCTGATGTCTGTCTCCTGAGTAGTTAGGATTACAGGCGTGAGCCACCAATGCACTACTTTGTTTTTGTTTTTGTTTTTGTAACAGGGTTCTGCTAACTTTGCCCAGGCTGACTTGAACTTGTGATCCTCCTGCCTCTGCTTCCCAAGTACCTGGACTTACAGGCTTGCACCATCATCCACAGCCATTTATGCTAACTTTAGGTCCTTCTAACAAGATTCTTTAATTTTTTTATTTATAAGGCTTCAATTAATTAGAAAACAGCATTCTAATATACTAATAGTGGTAAAAACTATTAAACATTTTCAAATTTCCATGCCTCTGTTGATGTACCACCTTTTGCTTCCTTTTCCATCTGGCTAATTTTTTTCCATCTTAAGAATGTATCTCAAATATCTTTCCCTCTTGTCTACTCTCCACCTACCTTCTTTTTACCTCACCTCCCCAAATTAATTGTTCTAGACGCTGTTCTATAGTGTGTATCTGTAAATCACAAAGCATTGATCATAAAATACTAATGTTTTTAAAGAATAGATAGTGTCCTATTTAAATAATGAAGGTCTTGACATTTAAGGACTAGATTGTACTAATCTTTTCATCCTGAAGGCCTAACACTGCCCGGTACCCAGTGAATCCTACATGAGTAAAATCACTAACGTGATAATGTTATGTATTTGTTATTTTCAGTTTAAAATGATGGAAAGTTCATAAATTGAAAATGTTAAACTTATCCTCAAAGATTGGTACTTTGAAGGTTCTAGGTAGCTAGGTATCCTGTTATTTCTTATAGCAGCACTTCTCAGACTTTCTAATCTTAGGACCTCTTTACTCTTTTGTACTCTCCTCCCACAGATGAGACAAGGGCTCACTAAGGTGCCCAGGCTGAGCTCAAACTGTCTTCTGCATTCTCCTGGGACTGTGGGCATGTGTGACTGCACCTGGCTTTCCTTATACTCTTTAATAATGGAAGATTGGGGATGTGGCTCTGAAGACCCAAAGAGCTGTATTTATAAGATTAAATTCATCAAATTTACTCTGTTAGAAATCAAATAACACTTTTATTAAAAATAGCCATACTTTTAAAAGTTTTAGATAAGTGGCATTGTTTTATCAGTTTTACAAATCATTTTAATGCTTGGCTAGATTTTCATATTTTCTTCTGTGTCCAGTTTCTTACAAAATGTTTTTAAAAGTCCATGAAGAGAGCTGGAGGCAAGACTTAGTGGTAGAACACTTGCCTAGCTCTGAGTTCAAACTTCAGTACTGCAAAAAAAAAAAAAAAATTGTGAAGAAAACATGGGCCCACAGATGTGTAATCAGAAAAGAAAGCAGTGTTCTAGTGCTTTTCGATACTGTGTCTTTAATACACCAAAAGTCAAGTGGAAGTTTCTTAAGGTTGGTTGCGATGTGTGATCTGAAACCACATCTGAACTTTTTTGTACTCTTTTACCTTAAAATTCATCAGCCTGTCTAGTACTTTGAATGGATATTTTACACGTGAATGATTTTGGTGACATGTAGTTGTTACTTGGAAAATATGGTTCACTGAGTTCTACAGATGTTCCAAATGTTGACATATTTCATTATAGAGTATTTAAAAGTCATCACCAGTTTCAACAGAAGAGTCTTCAAATGTTGGGACATGAGCTGGAGATCATACATAAAAGTCTCCAAAAAATTCTGTTTTTCACTTGAAAGTGAAATATATTTAAATACTGTTAGTTGTTTTCCTTAAAACAACTTTTTTTTTTCATTTTCTAGAAAATATCTGGCAGGTACCCACTTCTGGACAGTGGCTTATGATCATACTGTCACATGAAAATGTGATTCATGAAAAAAAATGGTTAATTTAGGTTGTAACTGAACATTCTCATGTAGGCTTTTCCTTGAGACAGTAATCTCAAGGTTTGTTGGGAAATGAGACATAGTTTATGCCCATATCCTGTTTTGTCACACAGAATATTTAAGTGATGTACTTAGGATCAAATTTATTTTTTTGGGCAATAATAGGATTTGAACTCAGGGCCTATGCTTGCTAGGCAGGTACTCTACCACTTGAGCCACACCCCCTCAGCCCTTTTTGCTTTAGTTATTTTTCAGATAGGGTCTTGAGTTTTTGCTGGGAACCAGCCTCAGGCAATGATCCTCGCATCTCCCATGTAGCTGGGATGACAGGCACATGCCACTACAACCAGATTATTTGTTGAGATGGAGTCTCATGATCTTTTTAATATTTGCTGTTTCATTTCATTGAAACTAACATGGTTTGTTTTGTTGTGTTTTACAGAGACTGTGATAGTGAATAACATGAGTATTAGTACATTTTGGTACCACTGCTTTGATTTGTGCTAAGGCTTAAGCAGTTTTACTCACCATTGCTTTTTTACTTTTCCTGGCTCATTGAGGTAAAATTTATATAACAAAAAAATTAACCTTCGCATTGGCATTTAGTACATTTGCAGTATTGGAGAACTACCACCATCTCGTTCCAAAATGTTTTTATCCAAAGTAAAACACCTATTCATTAAGCAGTTTCTCCCTATTTTCCTCTTCTTCTAGTCTCTGGCAAACACCAATCTATGTTCTTTCTGTAGATTCATCTGTTCTGAATACTTCACATCAGTGGAATCATGCTACATGTGACTTTTTGTGTCTGGCTTCTTTTCCTTAGCATAATTTTTCAGAATACATCCTTATTGTACTTCATTCTTTGTTATAGCTGAGTAATGATCTTCTGTATATATTTGCCATAATTTATGCGTTCATTCATTAATGAACATTTGAGCTGTTTCCATCTCAACTATTGTGAATATTGATTGTGAACCTGTGTGAATAATACCTGTTTTACTACCCATTTTCAGTTCTTTTGTGCATATACCTAGGAATGCAGTTATAGGTTCCAACTATTGGCTTTGCAATGAAATAACAACACTGTGAAAAAGGCAAATAATATCTTAATATTATGAAAACAGTTTTGATCTTTCAGTTTCCTGAAAGCATCTGGGGGATACCCTTCTTTCCTGACAGATTTGCAGGCCTAACTTTGAAGTGCTCTATCCTATAAATTCCACAGTTGCTCAGATAGAAATTATGTGATTTCTCATCATCCTATTATCACCAGCTAGTAGAGATTAGAGCACTGCCACCCAAAAAAATGAAAATGTATTGTGCTATCAGATATGTTTTACAATCCCCACTATAAATGTGGAAATGAACATTTATGGAAGTAAATGACTTACCCAGGGTTGCTTAATATAACTGATAGAACTGGATTTCAGGGTTTCTCATTTCAAGACTGATAATCTCACTATTTCACAATTCTTCAGGTCAGTGAAACAGCAGGGAGGGGATTGATTGAGGGGTTCGTTTAGTTTATGACAAGAATCAAATTATAATTGCGGCAAAAGTGTCTAACAGTGTCCTTGTTATTTATTTTTAGAGACATTTCAAATCTGAAGGATGTGATCAGTGTCCACCTAGAAGACAATACCACTAGCAAAAATTTTTGCAGCCTATCTTGTCTTTCATCGTATGAAGAAAAAAGAAAACCGTTTGTTACCATATGTAGTAATAGCATTTTGACCAAGTGTACCATGTGTCAGAAGACAGCTATTGTAAGTTGTAAATTTTTTGTTTGTTTTGGTTTTTTTTGTTTATTCATATGTACATACATTGTTTGGGCCATTTCTCCCTCCTGCCTCTGCCCCCGCCCCCTCCCTCTTCCCTCCTGTAAATTTTTTTAACATTTAGAGAGATTCTAATGATTCTACTTGAATGTCAAGAGTTTAAAATCTTTTTTTTAATCCTAGATTCAGTATGAAGTAAAATACCAGAACATGAAACATAGCATTTGCAGTAATGCCTGCTTTTCAAAGTTTCACTCCACTAACAATTTCATCATGAACTGTTGTGAGAACTGTGGCGCTTACTGTTACACCAGCTCTAGTCTGTTCCATGTACTTCAGATGGAAGGACAGTCTCATTTCTTTAATAGTTCAAAGAATATTACAGCATGTAAGCAGGTATGAAGAAAGATCTGTTGCTCCTTCTGTTAGGTCTGTGAATGGTTCTCTAGAAAAATGTGGGGAAATACTTTTTAGTACAACTGAGAAAATTGGTAGGTTGATGAGGATGAAATAGACTTTGCACAGTTCCTTCTAGCGTAAGAAATGATAAATGTTATGTAGAGATTTTCCTAAAGAATCTCAGATTGGTAATCTCACCCTGAAAAGGCCAAGCAGGTGGGAGCCTGCAGTACAAACAAGTAAAGATAGCAAAAATAATAATATTGTACTTGTTAGTAAGGTCCGAGCAGAAGTATGTTGTTATTTTGAATTCCGTGTATTTAACTCTTTCACTTAAGCAGTGGTACAAAGATGAATGTAGAGAGTCACATGATTTTTCTCAGTCACTCATAGGAGGAAACAGTCCAGTAAAAAATAACTCCATATTTCTGATAAGAGAACCTTGAGTGGGTCCTTCTAAAGGCAGAGAAGCTGGCTGTGCTAAGGGTTTTGAGATAAACCTGGTGTTTGATCTGATCTCCTTCTATGAAATGTGACTGTTACATATCTTAATTGTTCAAGTGGCACTCTGATCTGATTTGGTCCCTATAAATTCTTTCTTCACAATAAGCACTTGGGTTGGGTGTGGTGGCTTACACTTGTAATCCCAGCTACTCAGATGTCGGAGATCAGGAAGATCATGGTTTAAGGCCAACTCAGGCAAAAAGTTAGTGAGACCCCATCTGAGTGGTGGTGCTCACCTTGTCCTTCTACCTATGCTAGAAGTAGGTAGGAAAATCATCTGAAGTCAGCCCAGGCCAAAAAAATAAAAAAAGTGATTGCAGGTGGGAGCCCCAATAAGCCACAGTTCAAATAGGTTATTTGTGAACTGCATCTTTTTTTTGTTTTCTTTTTTTCTGGTACCAGAGTTTGAACCTAGGGCCCTGCACTTGCTGGACAAGTGCTGTACCACTTGAGGTACACCCCAGCTCTTTTTTATTTAGTTTTTGGTTTTGTTTCCCAGGTCAGACGGGTAATGTGCTGACATTGTAACAAAGTTTGAGGGAGGCACATGTAATGCAAAAGCCTGAGCACCCATTTATTATGCTTATGAACCAAAAAAGGATGATTTAGTTGTTTTTTTGTCTTTGTTTTTGTTTTTTTTAATAAAGTCTTGTTTTTCTGCTTAGGCCAGCCTGGACTGCAGTCCTTTTGTTTAAGCTTCCACATAGCTAGGATGACAGGTGCATGCCTCCACTCCCTGCTTTTTAATTGGTTAAGATGGGGTCTTGCTTTTATCCTAGGTTGGCATCAAGCCATGATCCTCCTGGTCTCTGCCACTGTGTCCAGAGAGCCATGTCCTTTCTTTCCTTTTCTCTTTCTTTTTTCCCCTCCTCTCCCCTCCCCTCTACTTTCTGATGCTCCAGAAGGAGCTCTAGCTATCCTACCAGCTCACATTGCTGTGAACAGAATATGAAACCAATTGACACCTTTGCCTTTATGGAGCAATACTATATGGGTTTGTTTGACGTTGCCTTGCTCTTTTTTTGAAACAGAATCTCACTATATAGCCCAGGTTGGCCTTAAACTTGTGATCCTCCTCTCTCAGCCTCCTAAATGCTGGGATTATTGGCATGTACACCCTGTTCAGTTCTACAGATTTTATAGCCACCTGCTGTGTCCCAGGTACCTGACAGGCATAGTGACTTCCATCTCTTCCAAGAAGGAATTAGGCAGGTGTGGTGGCATATGCCTATAATTTATGCATTCTGGAAGTGGAGGCAGGAGGATCATGAGTTCCAGATCAGCCTGAGCTACACAGTGAGACCCTGTCTCAAAAACAAACAAAAAAGAAAAAGAAGAAATTAAATCAATGTGGGAGAAAGATGCAAATAAAAGTGGTGGCAAGTGGATTATCCAGCTGCAGAAGGGCTTGGCCTCCTATTGCTGGGAGAATCTCATCTTGACCATGTTGGGGAGGAACAGTTCATGGTTGGGGAAGAGATCTGGAGGGCAGTGGTCTCTGTCCATTTTCAGGAGGAAACTATTTCAGAATGGACTAAGACTGCCAGTGACCACACAACCATAGTTCAGTATACATACACTTCAAGCAAATGCTTAACCTAACTTCCCAGCACCATTAAGAATATAAGGGGGTGGAGATACAGCTCAGTGGTAGAGTACTTGCTTGGCATGCACAAGGCCCCGAGTTCAACTCCCAGCACCACCAAAAAAGAAAAAAAAGAATATAAAACTTGCTGCAGGCATGGCTCAAGTAGTAAGCGAGTATGAAGCCCTGAGTTCAAACTCCAGTACTGCAAAAAAGAAAAAAAAAATGCTGTGTTAATAAACAGGGGACAAGAATATACAACTTGGGGTTGAGGATATACTTCAGCCATAGAGTGCATTCCTTGCGTGCATAAGGCCGTGGATTAACAGCAGCTAAGATCACTTAATGGTGCTAAATACATATGTATGTATATGTAAATTATTCACACTATGAAAAGATAAAAATAGAAATTTTCAGAATTATCCTCTGCTTTTTGTTTCCTTATTCTTTTGCCAATATTTGGTTCTTACACAGAAAAATATTGCATATTTTCATTTATCCTGGCACTGTGTACCCCAAAAAGCAGTTCTATCATCACTATCAGTGTTGTGTGAAAGAATAGATGGTGAGCTTCTCAATTTATATCCTTCTCCTTTGCATACTGTTTATTGAACTCATTGTATTCTACTTTTTACTGCTTATATACTGCTTTCTTACAATATGCTTGTAATTTTTACCATGTAGTTAGCCTAGAAACACAGTGATTCTCACAGTATCTTGTAGTCAGTGTTAAGTACCCTTTTCTGGTTTGCTGGCACCAATAGAAGGCTTTCCTGAATTGATATTCCAGCTTGCATTAAGAAAAGGCCTATAATTATAAGACTTTTGTTTATTCAGTATGCTGTGATTGCTTGGGATGATGAATGCCTTCTATTTCTTCATTGTTTACATGTGCACTCTTATCATTGCTGTTAAATATATCTGACAGAAATAAAATAGTTTTAAAATGGATTCATCACTTTCTTTCATTTTATCCATTGCAACCTATAGTATCTTACCTGGTTTTTAAGAAAATATAAAACTTGGCTTGATTGTCATTACAATATTTCAACTAAAAACTGGTAAGTAGGTATGCTTATGTTTATTAACAACATTGTATGTCAGGAGCATGAATTTTGTCTTTCAGTACTGGGGTTTGAACTCAGGGCCTAAAGCCTGCTAGGCAAGCACTCTACCACTTGTTTCATGCCCCTAGCCCATGAATACTATTTTTAATCTCTAAACAGAAACTGGCCAAGACACTTACATCTTTTCCTTGCAAATCATTGAAGTCATCAAATGAAATGGTTGAGATCACTAATGACTTGGGGAAGACAGAGGTTTTCTGCTCTATTAATTGTTTTTCTGCATACAATAAAGCTGTGATGGAATCTTCTGCAGGTAATGCTTATTCAGCAGCTTCAGAGTTACTAACTGTTGGATAATTTAACTACCTTTTGTTTTTAACTTGATTCATTTCCATATTAAAGTGACTTAGAAATCAAAACAGGGCGGGTATGGTAGCTCAAACCTGTAATTTCAGCACTCAGGAGACTGAAGCGGGATGATCTGGATTTTGATGGCCAGCCCTGGCTACACAGGAAACCCACTCAGTCCTCCTCCTCCCCCAGAAAATTCAAACAGTGTAAACTCTGTTGCAAGTAACTGCTTTCCAGTATTTTTTGGTGTAAAAGGAAGGCTACTTCACCACCAGATATTTCATATTTATTTATAAAGACTGTTATGTTAGATTAAGCCAAACCTGCTTCATTCATGAAAAAAAAAAAGGATATATGTCTTTAGATTACATAGATCTTTTAGTAAATGAACGTGTATGCTTATATTAGCATACACTGAGCACCTACTATTGTACTTGGGTCATAGGAGTCACTTAGTATTGAGTTTATTCAATATGTTAACAGTATGAATGATTTGGTGGGTTTTTTTTTTTTAATTATTATTTTACAGAATTTGAACTCAGAGTCTTAAGCTTGCTAGGCGGGTTCTCTACCACTTGAGGCATGCTGTCAGCCCCAAGAATGGTTCTGTTAGAATATAGAATGTTGTACTTAACTCTCCTTTGTATAAAGAAGGCTTTTAGTTACAATTTCCATACAGTATATAAATTGGAAACATTTTAAGGTTCAAAACAACTGAGAATGTAGCTCAATATTTTAGCATGTGTGAGGCACTGGGTTCCATCCCCTGCACCACAAATAAGAGTCAATAATAGAGAAGCCAAATAATCCAGGGCCAACTAAGTTTCCATCAGAAAGCCTCTTGCAAGGGCTAGTGGTATTTACATACCTAGTGAATGATGCTCTTGGAGTTTGTATATCATACACACTGGCTTATTACATAATTCTCTGGAATATTAACCTAGCGCCAATGATGTTGAGGTCCGTGAATCCTGGAAGAGTTAGAAATTGACACCCAGTAGGAGACTGTATAGAAATCGCTCTCCTTTTTTATCATGGGTAATTTGACAGCAAATATTTCCTCAAAATTACAAGCAAATAGTATAGAAGTACTGAGAAATTACATGCAAAGGTAAAAGATATAAAATGATGGACATGTGTAAGTTACCAGTTTAATGTTATTTTTTTATTAAAGAACCTGGCTATCCCTAGCCCTACTAGGAATTACTCTACTACCAAAAATATGCTGAGGTATTAAATGTTTGCATTGTCCCTTGAAACACTTTTCAGTGCTAGGATCAAACCTCAGGTCTCACACATCACCCTACCACTGAATTCTAGCTTCAGCCCCAAATACTTACTATTGATGATTGATTGCTTTTGCCTGGTTTATAACAAGTATTTTTGTCTTTTATCAGTAAATGTTTCCATGGTACAGGATGAGCCAATGAATTGTCTTTCTCCAAAGAAAGAGTCTATTCCAGTTATAAGCAACATAGTGTCATTAGCAGATACTCAAATGGCCCAGCCCATCATGAACACTGATCTCGTACAAGGTAAAGTTAATACATTAGAAGACGCTTGACGTGAACATTGTTTTGTCTTTGTATGTTTTTTGGGTTTGGTTTTGTTTGGTTTTGTTTTGGTGGAACAGGGGTTTGAACCCAGGGTTCTGTGCTTGCTAGGAAGACATTCTGCTGTTTGGGCCATACCTCCAGTGCTGTTTTGTCATACTTAATGAGTCTGTATGTTAAATTTTCCTTTTGTTTCTAATATGAAATAAGCTACATTAGTTTATGATGTCAAAATTTTGAATGTATGCTCTTACCTTGTTTTAACAGGTACAATTTCTTCAGTAACAGCAAATGTCATTACAAATGTAAGTTTAATCCTACTTTTTTGGCTGCTGTCTTTCATTAGGAGATTACCTATAAATACATGTGTATATATATAAACAACTTTTTTTTTTTTTCGGTACTGGGACTTGAACTCAGGACCTCACACTTGCTAGGCAGGTGCTCTGCCACTTGAGCCACTTTCTAACCCAGACAGAATTCTTACTAGTCATATCTTTTTCACTCTTGTCCTTTTTTAAAAAGTATTTAGTAGTAAGTAGTTCTAGTTATCTGAACAGTAAATACTACTTTTCCGTAGTTATACATATTCTGTATCTAATTATATGTCTAATTATGTCCTTTAAACATTTAATACTAAATGTAGATTTCATGTCAGTTATGAGTAATTGTTTGTGTTTCCCCTTAAGAGAAGCTCATACTGTAACTTAATTCATTTTAATGTGTTATTACAGTAGATGTATTCAATATTTTGATTATTCAAAAATTGTTTAAAACAAGTGTTGTTTTATCATTTGTGCCCAAAGATCTCTAAGAACTCAGCCATTGAATCGAGTAATGGTGTTGATAATAGTATGGAGCAGCCAAGCCCTGCACCATCCCCATCAGTACTCAGTCAGCATACAGTTGATTCTGGTACAGAAGGACAAAAGGATCAAGTGTCTAGGCAGGATCCTACATGCAGTATGAAATCTGTGAAAGGAAGCGATGGACTGTGCCACCAAAAACTGACATCCAAAGTACAAAAAGTGAAAGATAAATCAAATATTAAAAAATCTTGGCGTTCAAATTTTCAGCATTTGGAAAACAGTGTTAAAAAAGATGTGACATTCTGTTATTCATGCCAGTTATTCTACCAAAAGAACTTCAACTATAGGGGAGAGTCATTTGCAACCCAAGGAACTTCTAATTGGAAAAAAACTCTAGCAAAATTCAGAAAGCATGAGAAAAGTGAAATGCATTTGAAGTCATTGCAGTTTTGGAAGAAATACCAGTTTTGTGATGAAGTTATCGATGATAATTTATCTACTCATTCAAAGCAAATTGAGGGAAATAAAAAGTACTTAAAACTTATAATTGAAAATATTTTATTTCTTGGAAAGCAGTGTTTACTCTTCAGAAGAAATGACCAGTCTATTTCATCTGTGAATAAAGGCAATTTTTTAGAATTGCTAGAGATTAGAGCAAAAGACAAAGGAGAACAAGTGTTTCGACTTATGAATTCACAACTTGACTTCTATAATAGTACACAAATTCAAAGTGATATTGTTGAAATAATAAAGACTGAAATGTTGCAGGATATTGTGAATGAGATCAATGTCTCCTCAGCTTTTTCAATAATATGTGATGAGACAACTGATAATGCCAGTAAAGGACAGCTTTCAGTTTGTGTAAGGTACCCACAGAAAACATCAAAGGCTGTCTTAATTAAAGAAAGATTCCTAGGTTTTGTTGATATTGAAGACATGACTGGGTCCCTCTTACACAAGAGCATCAAAATTTATCTGCAGCAAATTGGAGTTGATTTTAATAAAATATCTGGCCAGGCCTATGATAGCACCACCAATTTGAGGATAAAGTTTAATAAAATTGCCGCAGAATTCAAGAAGGAAGAGCCAAGAGCTTTATACACACATTGTTATGCACATTTTTTTGAGTTAGCAGTAATTAGGTTTTGTAAAGAAGTAAAAGAACTCCGTGGTGCTCTAAATACTCTCACTTCTTTGTTCAACATTATTCATATGTCTGGAGAAATGTTGGCAAATTTTCAAAACATTTGTAAGGTAAGTCAGAATAAAACATGCAAAAGCATGCATCACAGTCATGTTGGATAGTCCATGATTGCACATTACTATCTGTGATCGATGGTCTTCCAGAGATTATTGAAACACTGGAATTTGAATCAAGCCATTCCTCAAACATACGTTTGGCTGATGAAATGAGTGATGTGTTGAGGTTGGTTTCCAAATTTGAATTTATCTTTTGCTTGAAATTTCTTTATCGAGTGCTCAGTGTTACAGGAATTCTTTCCAGAGAACTTCAAAGTGAAACCATAGACATTTTTTCTTTGTCTTCAAAAGTAGAAGCAATTTTGGAATGTTTATCCTCTGAAAGAAATGATGAATATTTCAAAACTATCTGGGATGGGACAGAGGAAATATGTAAAAAAATAACCAGTAATGGTTTTGAAGTAGAAAAACCTTCTCTTAAAAAAAGAAGAAAAATTCAGAAAACAGTAGATCTTGGTAATTCTGATAATATGTTTTTTCCTACTTCAACAGAAGAACAATATAAAATTAATATTTATTACCAAGGATTGGATACTGTATTACAAAATTTAAAGTTGTGTTTTTCAGATTTTGATTATTGCAAGATGAAGCAAATTTCAGAATTACTATTTAAATGGAATGAACCATTAAATGAAGCAACAGCCAAACACATTCAAGAATTTTATAAGCTTGATGCAGACATTATCGCTGAACTTAGATTTTATCGGCAATATGCAAAGCTCAACTTTGACATAGATTATGATTCCATCAATTTTGTTAGTCTTGGCTATTTATTTATTCAGCATGGTCTTTACAATAATATTCCTTGCATCTCCAAGCTTTTATATATTGCTTTATCTTGGCCAATTACTTCAGCAAGTGCTGAAAACTTACTTTCTACACTGCCTCGTCTTAAAACATATTTATTTCATACCATGGGACAAGAGAAGCTAAGTGGCCTGGCTCTAATGGCCATTGAGCAGGAACTGGTGAATAAGCTGATGGAGCCTGAAAGACTCAATGGAATTGTAGAAAAGTTTATCAGTCAGATAAAAGATACATAATACTTCCTTAAAGAAGTTTGTATTTCTGTTGGAGGTCTAGTGAAGTTTTGTTTGTTTGTAGCTGGGGCTTACTGTATTGCCTGGGCTGATCTTGAATTTGTGAGATAAAATGCTCTACCCATCTCAGCCTCCCAAGTAGCTGAGACTACAGACACATGACCACTCTGCTGAGTTTGGAACACTAGTTTTTATTTGAAAATTATGTCTCTCTTAAGATGCAGCAATTCACATTTAAAACTTCAAAAGTTAGGGCTGGAGGCATGACTCCAGTGGTAGAGCAACTGTCTAGGGTGGCAAAGCCCTGAGTTCAAACCCCAGTACCACCTGTCCTACTCCCCCAAAAAAATTTAAGTTACAGAGTGACATCTCCTTCTCTCCTTCAAAGTTTTATCCTTATATATCTATCTAGAGATATTTTCCCATAAGCAATACTGAAAAGTACACACTGATCTTCCATTTGTCCTTTCTACAGTTGCCCATGCTGATCTTGTGGCTCAAGTACTACCTCAGCCTCCTGAGTGCTGAGACCACAGACATGCATCACCATCCCCAGCTCTTAACTTCTTTCTTTGTTTTGTGACAGGATCTTGGTGTGTAGCACAAGCTGGCCTCAAACTCAAGATCCTCCTGCCATGTGTTCCTGAGTACTGCAGTTACAGTCATGCATCACCATGCCTGGCTGTACATTTTTATTTTTTGACAGATATAGTTTCACCAACAATGTGCAAGAATCCCTATTTCCTTACATCTTTATAAACTGTACTATCAAATAAGTTTTGATCTTTGCCCATCTGTTGGTTGAAAATAGTATGTTAATCTCAGAATTTTCATTTAAGGATAAAGTTGGAGGTCTGGGGATGTAACTCAAGTGCTCCTGCCGGGCAAGTACGAGACCCTGGATTCAAACCCCAATACCATGAAATAATTAGGTCCCTCTTGAAGTTTAAAAAAAAACCACAAAACTGGGTGCCAGTTGCGCATGCCTGGAATCCTAGCTACTTGGGAGGCTAAGATCAAGAGGATCATAGTTCAAGACCAGCCCAGGCACATAATTTCTGAGACCTCATCTCCAAAATAATCACAGCAAAATGGACTGGAGGTGTGGCTCAAGTGATAGAGCACCTACTTTGCGAGCGCAAAGCCCTGAGTTCAAACCCCAGTCCCACCAAAAGAAAAAGGTTGGGTATGTGTTTTTAAGACATTTTGTATTTCCTTTTCTTGAATTGTCAAATGTTAAATTTTGGGTGTTTATGATTTATACATTCTAGTTGAATGACAAGCTGTTTTATGAAAATATGACTATTTTTTCCAAATAAATAACCCCAACAGAAAAGACCTTTTTTTTTTTTTTTTCAAAAAACAATTTAGCAATTGACAAAATAGTCTAGTTATTTCAATTGCATGCAGCATTTTGGGGTAATAATTATGATTGACAGCATTATACCTAAAGATGTCCTCACACAATAAAAAGTTTTAAGTTAGGAATGCCAAAAATGTCAATTTAAGCACATATAAAAATGAGCAAGAAAATGCAAAACTTTAGTGGCCACAAGTACATGGTCAGTTATTTATAGGAATTCCAGGTGCAAATTAAGCTCTGCCCAATGCTGCCTTTTAGAACTCATTTTGGGAAGCTTATCTTGGTTGCTGAAGCAAGCGTCAGTGCTAGGGAAGTGTTTCGAGTCCATTTCCAATAGTAAGACTGTTGTCAGAGCCATCAGAACTTTAGCCTCCGTCAAGTCACACATCATAGACACAGACTAATAGACATACACAAAATGACATACAAACAGTTATATTCAGGATGCACTCTATCCTTTTGCCCTCCCCTCCCTCAGCCCCCACCCTTTTTTTTCCCTCTTTTTCTCTTAGACTAGTCAGCTAGAATTCTCCCTTGGCACTTTTCATTCTTAACAGATCTGCAGCACAAACAGGGTTTCTCTGTACCTTACATCCTTTCCCTGCTGATTATCAACATGAAGTTCAAACTTCCTTGTCACCAATGACAGAAACCTGAATTAGTTCAAATGAACACAAGTGCTCAGGAACCTCCAAACAAAGGAATCCAAATTTCCTTGTTAGACAAACGGCAAAAGCCCAAATAGTTCAGATGAAACAACCCCAAAATTGCCCAGAAGTCCCCAGACAAGAAAAGGGAAGGGGAAGGCCTAACTAAGGTGCACAAATTGAGGACTCACCAAGGTCAGACTTCAGAGACCCTACATTCCAGATGGTCATTTCTCTGCCTCTCCAAATGATGGTGGGAATTAAATAATACTGGCTGAAGCAGAAACATAAGAAATGGCCCCTGGAATAAAGGTAATTACAGAAGTTTCATGGAACCAATTCTGTCTTCTTTCTGTCTGGGGTTGATTAGCTGCAAATGGCTAATGCCAAAAGGGGTACACTTTTTCCCCACCGTAGCACTGCTTACCAAAGCTGAAACCAGTGTTTTAGGCCCCAGGCCCAAACTTTAGGGTTCCATGTATCAGGTGCTGCCACTTGCCCTTGTATGCCAAATAGATGCAATGGTGAAGGTTCGAGAAAGGAGATTTATGTGGTACAGGAAGAGGAAAAATAAACATTTCAGCCATCTTCCAGGACACTTCTTACTTCAGAATAAAGTTTAAATAACAAAGGAACTGTTCAAAAATTTGAAAAATTTAGTGGTACAGTTCATTGGGCCTGGGTTTTTTTGTTTTTTTTTTTCATTTTAATTATCATATATTCATTGTACGGGGCGGGGGGGGGGGACCCATTGTGTGAATTCCAGATAGCCTTACACTGTATATTGGTTAGATTGCCTGCCCCCACTCCACCATTCACCTGCCCCCAACCCCCGCAACCTCCTCCTGGCTTCACTTAAAGCAATTTCATATATGTATATGTATGAAGCCCATCAACCATATTCCCTCACCTTTGTCTCCATTCATCCTCCCGCTCCCACAACTGCCACACACACGCACACACACACACACACTGTACCTATTTTACAGTCCCATATTTAATTTCAAAGTCAATGTTCAAAGGGGTTTCTCAGTGAATCCCAACTGTGAATATACTTTTACTTTGATCTTTTCAGCCCCCTTTGTTACTCTCCCTTACCTCTTCCCTCCCATCCCTCATTGTTCAACAGCTTTCAGTACATAGTCATGTCTTCTACCTCCACAGATGCAGTGCATTTCGATATTGTTGACACTACTATTTTCTTTTCCTTTCCCTCCTCCCACAAGTTCAATAGAGTAGTTCCACTATTACATGTTCTGCATATAAATGGGTATATGATTACATTTGTTTTTGTGTACACGTTTATCTTTTGGATCTATCTTCCACATACGAGAGAAGACATGAGGCCTTTGTTTTTCTGAACGTGGCTTATTTCACTTAAGATGTTCTCCAGTTCCATCCATTTACCTTTATCCACATAGTTTCATTCTTCCTTATGGCTGAATAAAACTCCAGTTTGTATATATATGCCACACTTTCTTAATCCTCTCATCAGTTGTAGGGTATTTGGGTTATTTCCATAGCTTGGCTATTGTAAACAGTGACACAATAAACATCAGTGTGCAAGTGTCTCTATTGTGTCCTGACTTACTTTTCTCTGGGTATATGCCCAGGAATGGTATCACTGGATCATATGACGGTTCAGTTTTTTAAGGAATCTTGATTCTGCTTTCCATAATGGTGGTACTAATTTGCATTCCCACCAATAGTGTATAAGGATTCCTGTTTCAACCATATCCTCGCCAACATTTGTGTTCTCTTTTTTTTTTTTTTTTTTGCAGCACTGGGGTTTGAACTTGTCCTCATGCTTGCTAGGCAGGCACTCTTACCACTTGAGCTATTCTGCCAGCCCTTTGTTTGTAATGAGTTTTTTTGAGATAGGGTCTCTTTTTTCAAGATAGGATCTCGAACTATTTGCCCAGGATGACCTCAAATTACGATCCTCTTTATCTCTGCCTCCTGAGTAGCTAGGATTACTGGTGTGAGCCACCAGTGCCCAGCATTGTTTGTCTTCTTGATGATAGCCATTCTAACTGGAGTGAAATGAAATCTTAAGGTGGTTTTGATTTTCATTTCTTTTATAGCCAGGGAAGTTGTACTTCTTCCTTTGAAAATTTCCTATTTAATTCATGTGCCCATTTCTTCATTGGGTTTGTTGATTCTTTGGGGGTTTAGGTTTTTGAGCTCCCTGTAGATCCTGAATATTAGTCCCTTATCAGATGAATAGCTGGCAAAGATTTTCTCCCATTCTGTAGGCAGTCTTAAATCTAGTGACTGCTTATTTTGGTGCTCCAGAAACTTTCTTAGTTTGATTCAGTTTTGTTTGTTTGTTTTGTTTTTTAAGAAATATTTATTTCTCTGGCACATTTTCCTAGCAGGTTATCTTTCTCAGTTTTTATAATCTGCTATTTTCCTACAAAGAGAATTTCATTTAGGCTTTGTTTTAACTGTATTTGCTTGGAGTTGTGGCAAGTATTCTTTTTTTTTTTAAAGACGTAAGAAAGACAATGAGGTATCTGATGACCTTAAGGGTAGGAGAGTGGGGGCATTGGTGGCTTCTGTCTGTAATCCTAGTTACTTGGGAGCCTGAGAGATCTGGAGGATTGCCGTTTTGAGGCCAGCCCAGGCAAATAGTTCACTTGATTCCATCAGAGCAAAAATGGACTGGAGATTTGGTTCAAACAGAGTGCCTGCTTTGCAAGCAGAAATTCTTGAGCTCAAACCCAAGTTCCACCAAAAGTACATACATACATACTTTATATATATATTTATGTACACATATATGCATATACATGAGGCCCTCCAAGTCAACAAGTCCTCACTGAAAAGCATAGTGGGGCAACTTGGAAACAGCCCCACAGGAAAGGTTTGTGCAACTGTGCTAAGTTCTGGAAATGTTGGCATGGTCTAAGTTTTTGTGAACACTTGAAATAAACCCTGTTCCCAAACAAAACCCCACTAAGGCTATAAACTCCAAATTCAGCAGGGCAGGGATAATAGAGGAAAAGAAAAGAGAACCTTGAAGAGAAGCAGATGTCAGGAAGTATTGGGCTATTTTAGTCACTTTGTGAAAATAAGAGAATTTCATGAGCCTTGAAGCTAGAAAAGCTATTCTGTCCCATCTCTCCTTCCTAAAAGTACAGGAAAATGCATTTCACATGAAAGGGAAAAGCAAAAGAATTTTGGAATATAATTTAAAAATTAAACAGCAGAAAGTTAAGAGTATAGCTCAATGGTAGCTTACTTGCCTAGATTATGGGAGGATCTGGGTTACATCTCCAGTACCACAAAAAGGTAAAATAACAAAACTATGAAAGAACAAGCCAGAATTTTTAAAAATTCCAATCAAATGATTAGAAGATTTGAAAAGAAAAGTAATAAGAATTCAGGAAACCACTCAAAAAAGAAAAATCACTTTTAAGATGAAAACTAAAACTAGAAGAAACAAAATAAGTAAGCACAATGATTATCTCGCTTAATTCCTCAAAGAAATAGAGATCAGAAAAGAAAAAATGTTTTAAAAGAATAAGGAATGTAAAGGCCTGGCACAGGTGGCTCACACCTGTCATCCTAGCTACTCAAGGAGGCGGAGATTAGGAGGATCTGGTTCAAAGCCAGCCTGGGCAAATAGTTCTTGAGACCCTATCTCAAAAATATTCAACACAAAAAAGGACTTGTTGGAGTGACTAAAGTGATAGCCTGCTAGCAAGTGTGAGACCCTGAGTTCAAATGCCAGTACTGCCAAAAACAAAAAAAATTGAGACTGTTATGAAATAGAGAAGACTAGAAATCCACATACTCGGAGTCTTCAAAGAAAACCAAAGCAATGGAAAAGATGTTACAAAGCAATGTAGAAGAACAAACACTAAAAGCCACGTATGTCAGTTAAGCAGTTGTCTCTTTCCCATGCCCCCTTATCTATTCCCTTCTATGTGAGGTTGAAGCTGGAACGCCACAAAGCACATTTCTGCTCTGG